CATACTTTATCTTAATCGAGATATTAATAAGGAACCAGCAGATCAAGTAGCTTTTGGAATAAAACACCAATTTTTTTAAAATTAAACACTATCTAAAGATTTGCATCGAAGCGTTTATTTTTGATAGTGATTTTAATCACTGTCAGATATCATTATACTTGATCCAACTATACCACGTCACAACTGTGCCGCGACCCCCCTGTGCTGGGTTTTTTTTTAATGAAAACATCTAGCTTTCCTATAAGTTATTGCCTAATTAAGAAAATTACTCATTGATTACAATTTTTGAACAAGTCTCATCCACGTTTTTTCTCTTGCAAATATTCATGCCTTTTAAAATTTCAAAAATTGTAGTTAACTATTAATTTTTTTAATTAGATAATATTCTTATTAGTAAAATATTTAAATATGTATCTTTATAAAATAATTATGTTAATTTCCTTCGAACGCATAAGGGATGGTTTTAAAATACTGAATAACGCATAAGTTGAAAATTTAAATATTTAATACCAAATAATGACGTGAAAAGTTAATTAGAAACATTACTGGTCTCTTAATGGTCTATTGGTCATAAGTAGTTCATTATATAAATGGCTGTCTTGTAAAATTACAAGTATCGAATAATGTATTTTTTTTTTTTTGATACAACATTATCACTTATGAACCATTTTAATTAGACAAGTTTAAGATTAAAGTAGGGCGTCAAAATGTTGCTATAGCGTTTACCTAATAGTTTCTTTACTTTTAAAAGTAAATTATAAAACTTCAGTAATTTAATAGTTATTAGATTATAATCTAAGGAATTTTGACTTTTCAGATATTTGATACTTTTGAAATGGAACCTCATCAAGAATGTGCTTACGACCACATCGTATTCTATGATGGCTCCACGCCAGACTCGCAAACTCTTGGAAGATTTTGTGGTTCTAAATCTCCTCATCCAATTGTTTCATCTTCAAATCAATTATATTTAGCATTCAAAAGTGATGCTTCAGTGCAGAGAAAAGGTTTTTTAGCTTCTCATAGTACAGGTTATATAATAATTATTAATTTACCATAGTATAAACAGGGTGCATAATTGGGTCAATGTGGGTCACTGAATACAGCGTGCAGTGACCCTCCTACACTTGCATTTGCAATGCATATCCTAAAACGTATAAAATTGTTTTTTTTTTGTTCTTTTCTGTTCCAAAGTTGAGTTTAAAAAAATACTTGTCTTTAAAAAGCTTACGAATAGAATAATATTCATAAAACATAACTTTTTACTGTCGAATGTACATGTAAATATATACAGAATGTCCAGTAAGTAAGGAAACAGATTAATTGTTATAGACAATGAGAACAAAAAAAAACGCGTTTCCTTACTTACTGAACACCCAATATATTCAGATCATCCCACAATGTTTTGAAAAATCCGTACTTTTCTTACGGCAAATTGTCAGAACTTTGTGAAATTATATATATATATATATTTAATTTTACTATCCTTTTTTAGTATGTGGAGGTAGATTAATAGCGACAAATCACGTGAAACATTTGTATTCGCATTCTAATTATGGAGATTTAAACTATGAAAGTGATGCCATGTGCGAATGGACCATTGAAACCAAGCCCAACATGAACGTCCATTTAACATTTTTGACATTTGAACTGGAAGAAGAAAAAGACTGCATGTATGATTACGTGGAAGTGTGGAGTAGTTTAGACACAAGTGGCCCATTTTTTGGAAAATTTTGTGGGCCAAATGTAAGTTTGAAAAAAATCTTTTTAATGTTTAAAAAAAATTCCATTTTTTATGAATTTTTTTTGATTTATTAGAATCCAACGGATATAATCTCAATGAACGATGCACTTTTAATTCGATTTAAAACCGATAACACAATTGTAAGTAAAGGTTTTTCAGCGTCTTATATCGCTGTGGAGTCTATTAACCCTAGTTCAGAATATTCATCTCAAATTGACGAAGACGATGATCTGTTATACAAGAAGACAAAATTAAAGAATGGTAACGATGGTGATGATGATGATGATGACAATGATGAAGACATGCTTGCTAAAAGTCCTTAATAATACAACAAATAGAGAAGTGAACTTATATTAAAATATTGTAAGAATAAGCTAGTGATTTTTTAATTTTGCCTTTGTGTCTAATGGTAAAATCATTGATTCCTTTAACCACAAATAAAGTGATGTGCCAAATTCATAAAATTTATCTTAATGTTTTACCTAAATTGTATTATAAAATATTATTATTATTATTGTTTTATAAAAAGTTGACAATGATAGACTTACACTGTAGTGTAAGAAATGAATTATTATAAAAATATGGACGCGACAGTTAAAAATTATATTATTGTTATTTTAATTAAAAAAATCGTCTCAATGTGATTTGTGATCTCGAATAATTATATAAAGCTAGCTTTAATTGAGATCATGATACTATTTAAATTTGGCCCAGTTTTAGAAATTTCATATCATGATTATATTTAACTTAGTAAAATGTGATGTTAGTATATAACTATTACCGCAGTTTAATGATTAAAATGTAGCGCATGATTAAGATAATATTCGTTTTGTGTTCAATTATTAAACTCATTGACAAATTGAGTCATCAAAGTTTTTATTCTAATATTGTGTGATTTGTTTTTAAAATATTATTTTAACCGTATCACTTATTATGAAAAATATTTACAAATGTAATATTATTGAATCGTTAAAATTAATAAAAAAACTTTTGAGTGTTATTTTTTATTTATGAAAATCCATAATAATGCCTAATAATTCATTTCACATTCTAATAGTGTAATTAATTTAGAATTTTTATAAAAAAATATTACCAAAAAACTTTTTGCAAATAATATTTGATACTGGGCATTTATTTCATAAAACTATGAAAAATATAGTGATATTTAATTTTGGCTAGAACAATTTTTTATGTATTTAGAATTTTTAGCATTGTTGCATTTATGTGTATGTCTTCTTACAAGTATATGAAATTTATTTTTAATTTCAGAGAAGTACATTATTAAGTTATTTGGAAATAATAAAATTATTTTAAATGTATCACCTAATATTATTAGGTAATGTCAATATTTTATAGTAAATTTGGATACTACAAAATTTTGAGTAGGATTTTTATAACAGCATACTAAGCAAAATAAAAATTTTAAAAAGCAAAAGTAATAAATTATTTGAAATTATACTAGGTAGATTGTTTACCCAGGGCCGTTGCGAAGCTAAAAATATGGGGGCTGTAAAAAAATTATTTTTATCAATCAAATAATTTTTTAAATTGTACAACCTCTTTTTTAATAATTATTGTTTGGTAGCATTTTTTTATATTAAAAATTTCCGACAAAAATGATTAAATTTTGTCAAGTCGGGGTGGGATGGCTTTTCACCCATATAGCTCTGTCGGTATAGTGTCCATAGATACCAGGGTTCGATTCCATTGTGCTGAACTGTGTATGTTTTCTCTTTGGCACAAGCTTTTAGAGAGACCGATAAATATTATTAAAAGATATGATAGAGCACATGATAATAATATATATATAATTATTATCAACATAAACATAATTATTATTTATAGAGTTGTCACTCTGATTTTCTATGGTCCATAAAATTATATATTTTTTCTAAAATATAATTATTTACATCGGAATGTCTCTAAATAAAATTGAAATGACATCACTGTCTATAAACTAATAATATTAATAAGACAAAATACATGATTACCAAAAATTAATTAGATTAGATTAGTTACCTTAAATTAGTGTACAAATTTTTTTACAATATGAAGTAGTGTCCTAATTAAGCGCTTCTGTCATATCAGTAAATTAATCTATCTAAATTAAAAACATTTAACTTGATGGAGGCAATAATAAATTGTAAAATATAAACTTATTAAATTCAAATACTTCAGCTTATAACTTCTTATAATTACTATTACTTAATCTTTTTGATTATAAACTTATTATGATATTCAGTTTTTAAAAATTAAAATCTTAATAAAATAAAATAATTCTGTAACTACCCATAATAGTGCAAATAAAAGTAACACAAGCGGTAAATTAATTTTCGTACTGAAGTATAAGCCCATCATATTACACATTACGTGTTAACCTACTTATCGAATATTTATTAGTAATTTTAAATAAATATTTCTATTTCAATTATTATATAATGTACGTTTAATAAACTAGTTTGGTGGCAATGCTAATGGTATATTTGTAACTCAAAGTAGGTAAAAAATCGATCATAGTAAATCTACTATTTGATTAAAGTTGCAAATACTATATTGTATTTGTGCGTAATTAAATACACACGATACTTGATACTTAAATACTAAGACATTTATATACTAAATGTAATATATTTACCATATTTAAAGGGTATTTGAAGGGTGATAATTTGATAACAGAAACACTTAGTCAATATCTCAGTAGAAATATTATTTTTAAGATACGGAATAAAATTCTTATTTATTTCTATGGAAATTATTAATTTTAATTTTATCCAAAAACATGATTTGTCTTTAAATTTATTTTCACATTTTTAAATAATATATATATCAATAATATCAACTAATTGGTTGTTATAATTTATATATAAATTTTTGTAAATTAAATAACGATAATTTAATTTAATTTTCAAGGTTTAACAGATTTAGTTTAATTTTTTTTTTTTAAATATATTCAAGTTCGAGCTACATTAAGAAACTTTAAATCAATTTTTTCGAAGTGTGTAATGTGTACTTTAATATATTTGTAAATTATATTCGCTTGTAGAATTTATGATGAAAATTTCGATGCATTCTACCATAACTTATAATAATGTAATGAATAAGGTTATCTGTATTTAGATGAAATACTTAAGCAGATAGTGAGAAAACATTTCGATTTCAGCAAAAATTATAAATTAAAAAATTACTCAGAAATTTCCCAGAGCTAGGGCGTATTTTAGAATGTGATGAGGGCAATCATCTTCGGCTATTCAAATAATATGAAAACGATAATTGTCAAATGTATCTTTAAAAGGCTTAAAGTGAATAAGTGGATTTAAGAAATATAGAATTAACCAGAGCTTCAAACTGCAATAATAAAATTATGATTATTATGTTATAACTATTAAAAAACAAATGTAATCATAAAACGTAAAAAAAAATATCAAATATAACTAAAAATTAAATATAACACAAAACAAACAGAAACAGAAAATGAAAACATATTGATGATTTGTTATAACATACAATGAATTTTGGGGGAAAAAAATACGAACAAGCCAGTGTTTCTTAAAATACACATAAAAACTATGTGAAAGAAATACTCACAAGCGAGCAATGACAGATTATTTCCAAATAATGTTAAAAAATTTACAATCATTTTTAAATATCACAAAATAAAAAAAAATTGATAACGTTTGAATACTAAAAAACTTAAAACATAACAAATTAAATACCGCAAAAAGGAAAAAAATGTTAAATCCATAACGTTTTAATTATTTAAACCCTATAACACAATATAATTGTTAATATTTAAACTTATATAACTTAAAAATAAAATGAATAACTTTGATTTAAGTTCTGTTGTAAACATTTATGAATATATGTTTTATATGCTGAATACTATTTTTTACTATCTGTATATTAATTTGTAAAACTCGATAGGCCTTTGTGTTTAAATCTTGTTAACGCGCAAAATGAATTAAAATCTAAGTGGACCAAAAATCTATTCGCATTAAATTTTTTTTTAAATAAACCAACATTTTTTAAAAGCTTATACTAGAGAAACTAAGCTTTCATTGACAATTTTTATGTATTCATATAGTCAAAAACTTGAAAAATAAAGTTTTAATTGAAAAACATTAAATAGTTTTCTAAAATTAATATTGCTTTTGGTTATTGGATATATAGAATATCATTTTCAAATTACCAACTCAAACTTAATGGCACTCTCTTACCTGAAAGATTTATGTTACCTATCTAGTTCATTCATTTGCGACTTAAATCATCTCAAATAAAAACTGTTTATGTGGAGATATTTTTAAATATGAGATTTAACGTGATGTATGCATTGATTCTTCTTAATAACGAATTTATCTATAGAAATTTATTATTAATTACATAAAAAAACATTGGTTTTTTTATTAATTACAATTTGTTGAAGAATTCTTTATATTTTGTGTACGGAATATTTGTTATGTTTACGATGTAAAGGAATTAATATTCTCATCGTTTGTTTATTAGATAATATTTATCAACATTACAACTAATTATGAGTGTGAAATAAGATTATAACTATAATTTATTATTATAACCTGGTCAATGACTGTTACTGCAATAGCTCTTTATTCTATTCTATTTAAAATATAATATTTGGCAATGTTTAACTCAGGACACGTGGACAGTATAATAAATTTATATACATATATAAATGATGATAATAAAAATATTCCAATTAAAATTATTTATAATTTGACAGTATTTCTTTTATAAACTAAATTTAAATAAACAAGTTTAATAATTTAACGATTTAGTTTATTATAATAAGATTAATAATTACATTACAAATTCTCTTATATGGGAGAGAAAAGAAGACAAAAAAAAGACAAGATATTTATACAATAAATAAATATAGATTACAAGTAATCTATATATTATTTGTTAATCAATTGATGTCTATATAGTAAATACATCTCAATCATCTGGTATGAGTAGATTGAAAGAGAAACTAAACATTTAAGTTTTATTATATAGATATACTTGTAACGGTACACTTCTCTTGTTATAATAGATTGTCCAGTCATTTTTATTTAAATATTACAATATGCATTATTGATAAATCTCATTAAATTAATACCTTTATTTTATTTGTATTAATGGATGCGTTTAAAACAAATATACTAAAAGATTATAATTAACAGTTATGAACACAAAAGATTATTGAATAGCTATTATAATTTTTACGCTAATAAAATACACATTAAAAAAACAAATATAAATGTAAGTCGTTAAATTAAAAATGTATTAGTTAATGTTACATTGCAAAATATATGTATTATATCATCATCATAATTATTTTTTAAATTAAACAGCTATTTGGTATAAGTAATGTATAATTTCAAAAATCATAAGGTTGATTATTAAAATTATCATTAATTAAATAATAGAATATTATTCTAATACATTTATAATAGACCGTTATTAAAGCTATAGATGTGGTATATTAATAACATTAATTAATATATTAATTCAGTAGTGTATAAGAAGAAGATTTAAAAATTAAATAAAAAAGGTCAATTACAACACTAAATTAAATTCATATAATTTATACATGGTTGTCTTGTAGGATTATTACTAATAAAAACGATTGAAATTTTATAATTAAAAGTGAAAAATATATTATTAATTTTAAGTAGGAACCAGAGATATTCACATTTAAAAAAAAAATTTAGGTGACTATTTCTAGATATATAAGTCATTAAAATACCATCTTAAGTAATAGTATGACAGTTAGATATGATATGATGAACTATTTTACATTTTATTTAATATTAATGTTATCAAAATTATTGTTCTATAAGCTTTCGTTTCTTTTTTTTACTATTTAGAAACAACATTATTTCTATTAACTGATAAAAATGATTAACATGATGTAATACTGAGTAACGGATTAAAACTTGACACAGTTTTCTATTAAATAATATAAGTAAAATATAA